CAACTTTTAAAAATTCCTTTCATTTTTAATCTAATATTTGTATACAATTCCAGTGTAGGGGAGGAGCTGGTAATGCTCATGAATAAAACACAGAAACTATAGAAATGCCATTCCTGGCAATACTGGAAGCCTGCTCCCTTGGGTGGTGCAGCTCTGCAGCATGTGTGGTGACTTCCTTAGGAGTCTGGTGGAGCAAGAAGGCAGGAGTTAGTGGGCCATATGGAAAGGTCACTAGAAAGCCATGCAGAGAATGAAAACAAGATTTTCCTAATTGGTACCTTGTCTTTATAAAAATTTGTTATGTTACAGTGGCTCTATGTAGAGTTTTTTGGTTTTGTTTTTTTAAGTTGTAGTTGGACACGTCTTTATTTTATTTATATATTTTTATTTTTATGTGGTCCTGAGGATCAAACCCAGTGCCTCACATGTACTTGGCAAACTCTCTACCACCAAGCTACACTCCAGCCCTCTATGTGGAGTTTTTATAATTTACAGTTGTGTTTATAGTTAAAAAATTCTTATCTTTTCAAACTCTTTCAAAGACTGCATTTAATTTCATTGCTCTTTCCTCTAACCATTTAACCACGAATAAGGAAAAATGGATGTGTGTGACAATCATGGATATGTTAATGGACTRTAACTGTAGCTCATAATAGGGTAAGGATAAACCTTATTGGGCTGGGGCTGTATCTTCGTGGCAGAGCATTTGCCTAGCATACGTGAGGCACTGGGTTCAATTCTTAGAACSGAATAAAAATAAATAAAATATTTTTTAAAAAAAGAAATAAAAGAATAAATCCTCATTAACTGAATATTTAAATTCATTATTATATTGCGATATAACAAAATGTGAAGTGATCTTTATTTATTTTGAACTGAATTTTAAATTAAAACCTTCACATGGCATGTTTTAAACTAAGGTACTATTTGTGACCTGTAATGAGTTTTAAGGTGTTCCAATTATCTTCTGCATGTTAAAGTTCCCCCAAACTTACTGGCTTAAACAGGAATGCTCATAACGATTAACCATGTGTGTGTCAGGAACTGCACAGGGGAATGTAGGGAATGTAATCTTTTCCCTAAAAGATCATCGTAGAAAAGATTTTAAAGTTCACCATTGAGTTAYTGTCAACTTTGTGCTTTCCACATATGGCTTTTATTATATCRAGGTTGTTTCCGTGTTTGAGTGTTTTTTGGGGTGGTGGTGGAAACTTTTGGTTGTAGGGCCTAGTTGCAGAAAGTAGGTTACTGATTGAAAGGTAAATAGCCATCATGATGTGTGTAGTTTGCTCCAACACATTTTCCCTAGMAACATGTTGTGCTTTATAACAGGCCCCCAAACAATGGAACTACATGACTGTAGACTAAAAACTTGGAAACGGAGGGTCAAAATAAGTCTTTCCTCCTTTTAGGTTGTTTATGTGAGTTATTTTGTTACAGTGACTGAAATCTGGCTAACATAGAATATTTGTTGTGAGTCATCCACAAACTGTGTGTATGAGCTATGCACATTTGAGCGATATGARGGGACTGGTCTGGCATTGCATGCAGATTGGGCTGTGTGATGGAAGTGTGCCCTTCCTCTCACTCTGCCTGTGATCCCACACAGCACCTGAGAAGGGTATGACTTGCCAAGATGTCAATCAATATCACAAAGACATCACAAAGCAAGACTCCACCTGTTGAAACCCTATCCCTTGCCTTATCTATCGAATGTCTTTTCCCTAATAAATAGAGGTGTTCCGGGTGGGTTCTCTTTCGCCTTCCAGCATGGAAGAGGACCCTTGAGGTCACAGAGCAGTCCCCCTCTCAACCTGAGAAACTCATGTGTGTGTGTTGCATGGTTTCTTCACCGTTTTCTTAGTTTAATGTTGCAGCCAGCTCTTTTAAACCCAGCTCGCCTCGCCAGCCCAGCCAGCTGGCAGGAATTACTGTTACCAAGAATAGGGATTGTTGCTTTGACTACATCTCACCATTGGAATCAGAAACTTTGGACCTGGTTTGTAGAAGGATTTGGAAAGGTTTGGAGATGCAGTGTCGAGAAGCCCTAGAATTCTGAAGGTAGAGTTTAGTGGACGACTCTGTGMGATTAGAAGACCAGAATCTTGACTGAAATATAGATAGTAAAAGACGATGCTCATGAGGTTTAGAACTCTGTTGGAATTGGAATAGAGGTATTTCTAGCAAAGAACTTGTCTATATTTTGTTTGTGTACTGAGATTTTGTGTGAGGCTGAGCATAAAGATGATGGACTAATTAATTTGGAAAAGGAAATTTCAAGGTAGCACARCATTCAGACAATGCCTTGGGCATTTCTGGCTGCTCTTAGCCAGATTTATTGCKGAAATTGAGAGCAAAGAGCAGAGTGGAAAGATTTACAGACTTGTAGTTTAACCAGAAATGCATCAAATGTGAAATGGGGGCTGAGGAAGGGGTGTTTGCTGAGGACATTAGGACCATTAAAAGAAGCCAAATACTTTGCAGGAGGACTACAGTAAGAAAGATGGCTTGGGGACTGGGGATGTGGCTCAAGTGGTAGCGCGCTCGCCTGGCATGCGTGCGGCCCGGGTTCGATCCTCAGCACCACACACAAACAAAGATGTTGTGTCCACCGAAAATTAAAAAATAAATATTAAAAATTCTCTCTCTCTCTCTCTCTCAAAAAAAAAAAAAGATGGCTTGAGAGTATCTCAGGAATCAGCAAGACCCTATTTCTCACAGGCTCAAGGGTATAAAAGTATAATTCTTTCTTTTGAGAATAGAACTCCTGGGTRCTCTGCTTCCCCACTGGGCAATCTAGCAGGTTGTTTCTCAGGATTTATTTCACCTTGTTCAGCCCTCCAWGCAGTCAGAGGCCACTGCCACCATGGTCCAGGAGGACCTAGTTCCTAYTGAAGTCAGTAGCAGACATGACATTGACCACTTGATGGTGGTTTTGAGCAGTGCAGAATGGAAGAAGTGTGGGGTCGTGGAGGCTCCCACCAAGGCTTCAAAGGAAGACCTGTGTGGCAGGGTTGGAGTGCTTGCAGGAATTCTTTAAGTAGGCAGTGGGTGAAGCTATAAGAATGAGCTGAAGTACCATGGAGAACCTGGATGTCAGGAATGTGGATAGCCTGCCAAGGAAAGCCACTTGGAATAAGCAGAGCCATCCAAGAGTGGCTATATGAACTGCAGCCTGAAAGACCATAGAGTTGGGGCTGCGTTAGCTCTTTGGAGCCCTCAGGATGCCACCATGTGCCCTGGATATCAGATTTGAAGCTATAGGATTTAATGTATACTGGRCAAGCACTCAACYATTGAGCTGTGTCCTTAGCTCCTACTTTCATTTGAGTACTTGTGTGATATGTTTTTCCTCATGTGTTTACTTTTCATCCATATATGTTTAYATTGAAAGTGAACTTCTTGTAGTGAATATATAGTTGTATTTTATTTTCTAACCACATTTGCTGTCTGATATTTCTTACATCCTGCCATGTCTGTTCTAGTGCATCCTTTGCCACTTGAAATCGTGTATGCCTTTGGTATGCCCTGTAGCATTTTCTTTGTAGCCTGGCATGTTATGCCAAGTAAGAGGAGCTGTAGGAAATCATTTTAGCTATGTGGTWAGGTGTAAGAGGCTGTTTTAGTCTGTACAGATTACAGTAATAAAATAACCTAGAGTGGGCAATTTATAAACAATATGAATTTATTGCTCACAGTTCTGGAATCTTCAGAGTCCAAGAGCYCCAGTAGATTGCATGTGTGGTGAGGGCCTTTCCTTTATAGATAGCCCTGTCTGTGTGCTGTTACACACCTGGCAGAAGTTGTGAAAAAGCTACCTTGGTCTTCTTATCAGGGTATTAATCTTGTTTACTGGTGCTGTACCTTCATGAATTAATCCATTTCCAAAAGCYCCACCTCTGATTACTGCTACTGTGAGGATTAAGTTTCAACAAATGAATTTTGGGAAGACACAAATATTTACACCATATTAAAGGGCTCTGTAGCCAGATGTGGTGGCACAGGCCTGTAATCCCAGTGGTTCAGGAGGCTGAGRCAGGAGGATCACAAGTTCAAAGCCAGCTTCAACAACTTAGTGAGACCTGTCTCTAAATCAATAAATAAGACAAAAAGGACTAGGGATGTTGCTCAGTGGTTAATCTCAGTGTCTTCTCCTTACTTTTATATTCAAGAAGATTTATTGATTTTTTTTTTTCTTTTTAGTCTCTTAAGTTCTTTACTTGGTTTAGGAATGGAAAGCTGTCTTTCAGATTTCCATTACTGAGAAAAAATTTCCTGAGGTCATCAACTTAAAAGGAGGAAAGGTTTATTTTGGCTCATAATTTAGGAGGTTGCAGTCCATGATGAATTTACCTCATTACTTTCGGGCCTGTGGCAAATGGCAGTGGAAGCTAGCCTGGATGCTGGAACAGGCCAAGGTCCCAGTGTCCCCTACAAGTGTAGGACTCTGATAATCTAACTTCTACATACGAAGCCTCACCTCTTAATGATTCTACCACTCCTTCTTATAAATTTGAGCCTTTCACACATGGGTATTTGGGGTACATTGCAAACTAAAGCAACTTTCAGGCTCTTTAACATATAGGGCTGGATGCTAGGATGGTATATTTTTATAGTGTCATCTGAATGTCTATGCAGACAACCTAAAGAATTTATCTCTGTAGAAGTATGTATATGATAAATTATATTAGTAGTGTCCTTAATGTTGAATTTCCCTCTATTCATGGGATAAAATCAAATTCTTTCATTCTTTTTTTTTTTTAAAGAGAGAGTGAGAGAGGGGAGAGAGAGAGAGAGAGAGAATTTTTAATATTTATTTTTTAGTTYTYGGCGSACACAACATCTTTGTTGGTATGTGGTGCTGAGGATCGAACCCGGGCCGCACGCATGCCAGGCGAGCGCGCTACCACTTGAGCCACATCCCCAGCCCCAAATTCTTTCATTCTTTATGCTTTTATTTCTTTGCTTTTATCAGCATATATTAGTTTTCCTGTTACTTTTCTTCTTCAGTCTCTTACATTTTCTTCAAGCCATTTTCTTCACTCTGATGACTTCAAGCAACAGTTAAATTGTATTACTTTCAAAATTTTTAATATTCAGCTTACTTCTCTCCTGGACTCTCCAGAATCATATGTTTGTAATTGCCTTTTGGACATTCCACATCTGGGGCTTTAGGATTCCAGATATGATGTGTTCAGGTATGTGTTACTTTTGCCATTATGTTCTTATGTTTTCTAAATTATCTTTATAGCACCAGTATCTAACTAGCAGCATGCATGCAGGAAGCCTAGAAATATAAGGTCTGTYTTAATCTTCTGCTCAGCAAGTTAGTACTAAATTCTGTTCCTGTCTTTTCTTTTTTGTCTTTTTGGATTACTTATTCAGTGTTCCTACTTCTCTATTTTCTGATGGTGGTTTTCATGTAGTCCCATCATGTCTCATTCTGGTTTCTTCCCTTCTACTCTTCATTAACCCTTTCCAATTCTTTTTGTAAATTAAAAAAAAATTTTGTAGATGTACAGAATGCCTTTATTTCATTTATTCATTTATTTATTTGTTTATTTTTATATGGTGCTGAGGATCAAATGCAGTGCCTCACACATGTTAGGCAAGCACTCTGCCACTGARCTACAACCCTGGCCTCCAGTGTTTTTTTAGGGAATGACTACTGAAATGTAGAACTTCTTAGTTAACTGACCTGATCTTCTATGATCTCACTGTTTACACCCTGTGGTTTGGAAAGTGGCAGTGCTCAGCCTGAAGTGAACATAAACATGCCTTTGGCATACAGGAAGGAAATATTGGGATGCCTCTCTACATGCTTTTAATTTGTAAGTAATTATAAACAATGTTCTTAAAGTTGGAATCTTTTCGGTATTTAAGTGTAGAATCATCCACTCCATAATCTCTTCTTTCAGTGTTGTGTTTGTCGTCATGATTCAGATTCCTTCACCTGGATTCAGCCAGGTGTGTGGTGTTTGTGTGCTGGTGATGGGATTCCTGCTGTTACTGATAGTCATGAGAACACATGGTTGATACATGGCAGAGCTTAAATGTTTTTGGTTTTTCAGCGAGGGGCAGTCTTATAGTACAAAATAGAACTTTATTCTCCTTCCTCAATTCATCTACATGGAAGTTGTGTTTGGTTCATCAAAGAAATTATTGTGGGTATTTATTCTTGTGTTGTCTTCATACTAAATAATAAGTGTTTTGAACAAGCAAAATTATATTCACACTTTAATCCCTAGCAACAAGGTTGATTTTCAGATCCAGAAGGTAAGCTTGATAATAACATTAGTAACTAATTAATAAAATGATGCATGACTTTAATCTTAACTACTTAGGAGGCTGTGGCTGAAGGATCATAAGTTCCAGCCAGCATGTACAACTTATCAAGACCTTATCTCAAAGTGAAATGAACAGGGCTGGGTTTGTATCTCAGTGGTAGAGTGCTTGCCTAATATGTATAATGCCATGAATACAATTCCCGGTGGTAAAGATAAATAAGTATTTAATTAAAAGGGCAGGATAGTGTATGATTTTTCTTTTCCCTGCCATGTAGAGTATAAAGCAAGCTGCATTCTATGTAAAATTCACATAACCCCCACTCCACAGCACACCCAAAAGCCAGAACTTCCAAATTCTAACTCTTTAGACTAGGACTGATGATTTGAGAAATATGCTGTTACAAGTACTAGTGTCATTTGAGGATGTGGCTGTGGACTTTACCTGGGAGGAGTGGCAGGACCTGGATGATACTCGGAGGACTCTGCACAGGGACCCGATGTTGGAGACCTACAGTTCCCTGATGTCACTGGGTGAGTGAAACTCTGCAGTTATTCTCAGAAGCAAGCCCTTTCTATAATAAACACATGAACACTTGTAGGATTTAATGCTGTTTAGATGGAAGATTCCAGTCTATGAAGAATTGATTGTGTTCCCATCTCTAAAAGGCTTACATAGGCTTCTTAGTTGCCTAGCCCCTGAAGTTGAGCTGTTGAAATTCTTCAAAGAACCTGCCTTAATAGTTTGGTAAAGTCCCAAGTTATTTGCCATTAACAGGACATTGCATCACCAAACCTGAAGTGAACTTGGAGCAAGGAGCAGAGCCGTGGATGGGAGAACTCCCAAATGAGAGCATCAGTGAGTGCATATTGGGCTGGGAGGTCCTGAAGAGGAGAGCCAGGAGATGTTGGCCATGTTGTGCTGTCTTCACAAGMATTCCCCTAGGTCCCAGACATGGGAACAGCTGTTCTATATACTAAGACATGTGAAATATAATCACTAAGGAGGACTCTCACATATATTCCTACCTTTAATTTTGCTGAATATTTTCTTACATTTACACCAAATCTAGTCTCTTAGACACTTCTTAGACATTTTTCTTTGATTTCTACTTTTTCTGGATTCTCTGTTATCTCTTATCCTTCATTCTCATGTACTTTTTTTTTTTTTTTGCTGTCAGACATTTCTTCATAAATTTCTTTATGCTTCAAGCACATCCTAATGGAGCATATTTTTACTACCATTGATTTTATGTTTGTACCTATGACAGCAATGATGGTGATTCTGTGCCTCTCATAGAATTTATTTATGATAATATTTAAATGAGAAGTTCCTGTGTATTGAGTAGGCAGTTAAGAACTGTGAAGAATATTTAACCAGAGTGAGACAAAGAGAAACAGGAAATGTTAAAATTTAAAAAGGATGGTGAGAGAAGACAGCCTTAGGGTGATTTTTTTTGTTCATTGGTTGATTTGTTTTTATGGGGCTGGTCATAAAACCCAGGTCCTTGTGCATACTCGTCAAGCACTTTTCAACTAGGTTATATTTTTAGGGGAATTATTAATGTTTACACTGGTATTGTTTCAGTTACTGGTTTTGAAATTTTACAGAAAAAAACATAGGTTGATATAAAAAAAAAAGATCTAGATTTGCAAGCAGAACTCAGTCTTGGAAATGTAAATTTGGAAATTGATAGTGTAAATGTGGTAAAGTTATTCTTAGAAATTCAACAAAGGATTTCATAAAGAAAATGAGAGAAGTCCAGAGTCACATATGTGAACCAGGATATCAGAAATCGTCAAAGTGAGGATCCAGTATATGAGCATGGAAAGGGGTGGTCTTGGACTTGGGGAAGAGTCAGGAAATTCTGGCCTGAAGCACAAGAGAACCAAGGGTTTTACACTGAGCTGACATTTTGGGGAGTAGAATTTGAATTTAGCATTTCCCTTTTCTCTTTGTGGCTATTATTCTAAAACAACATACACAATGAGAAGTGTACAGAAGACTACACTTTGCATAAAATTAGCAAAACTGCTAACACTGCAGTGCATGAGATTATATTCCTCAAAAGCAGTGGATTATCAAGCAATTGGTACATGTCCCAGGAATAGTGGGGAAAATGCCAGGGCTGTTAATCTCAGAAATAACCAGAAAAACACTTTCCAGAGATTATGGGCACCAAAGGTGAGTGTTTAGGGTAGGGCTCTGAAGCTTCCTGTACTTGTTTTGGTTCTGAGAACTGGAGGAAGCCAGGTTAAATTAGAAATTGTCAGAAAGCTATCCTTTTCTAGAGTGTAAAACAATTTTATATTTAGAAAACTCCCATATACTTATAGTCTTTCYCCAGGGAAAAATGAAAACTAAATGAACATAGATACAAAACACTTTCCATTACCCATGTTCCTTCTCTAGGGGACAGTCATTTGACCTGATTCACCCTACAAGGAGCTGGTCACAGAAATTCTTGCCACCTTCAAAACAGAATAATGAGAAGAATCTCAGTGGGAGATAATTGTTATAAAAAAAAAAGTGGAGATAAAGAACAGGGAAAACTAATGGCAGGGTATAAGCACTCCATAATGAAGAATTGTTGCAAGAAGTAGCTGAATATTTTAACCAAATGTCTGTCTCTTCATGAAATAAACATAGAAAAACAGTTGTGCACTAGAAAAACTACCAGTGCAATTTATTAAATGAAGTCAGTAGGAAGAGAATGCAAAACCAATACTTGTTATGTATTTTATAAAATTTTACGCCGGTAGGATATGCTCGTACATATACATGAGCATTCCATAGAAATATTTAAGCCAGGTGTGATGACACTTGTCTTTAGTAACTCCAGCCTCTTGAGAATCTGAGGCTGGATGATCACAAGATTGAGACCAGCCTGGGAACTTGGTGGGACCCTCTCAAAAACATGAAGGGCTATAGATGTGRCCTAGTAGAAGAGTGCTTGCCTACTATGCATGAAGCCTTGGGTTCAATCCCAGCTGTCCCATGAAAAGAAGAAATGTTCATATGTAGTTCATAAGTGTGTTCTTTTTTTTTTCTCTCATTTTAGATGTGAAGAAAATGGATGATTTAATTGAGACTAACCAGGGAAGACAAGATAGCCATTTCTGGCAAGATGTAATGAACACCAACAACATGTTAACAGAGGAAAGAGATGGATTAGGAAACACTTTTTCTTTGATCCCAAATTGTATTTCAGATTTGATTATAAATAATGGAAAGCCTGAAGAGTTTAATATATGTCAGAACTCTCATCTCTCTATTGAGCCTGAGGAGATGCATCCTGGAGAGAAATCTGGTGATGACTATAACATAACTGGGAAATTCCTCAGATGTCCTGAACATTTTGATCAGCATCCCAAGATTCACCCTTGGAAGCAGAATTTTGAATATAGTGGAGAAAATTTTGAATATAGTGGAGAAGGGAAAGTTTTCAACAAAGAGGCAGCCGTACTGAAAAAGAGTGTTCAGATTGGAGAGACTTCTGGTAACCATAATGAATATGGGAACAACCTTTATGAGTCGGCTCTTATTGACGAGAAAGGAAGGAAGATTTTTTATCAAGAGTGTACTCTCAAACAAAATCAGCAAATACAAACAGAGATGACATCCTGTGACTGTCTTGAATGTGAGAAAAACTTCATTAGCGAATTAGATTTTCCAGTACATCCGGGGACACATACAGGGCAAAGACCCTACTCATGTGACCAGTGTGAGAAATCCTTCAGCTATAGGTCAGACCTTACAGTCCATTGGAAAACTCACGCAGGTGAGAATCCTGACAAATGTACTGAATATGTTCAATCATTTTACCAAAAATCCTACCTCAGAGACCCTCAGAGAATTGACACAGGGGAGAAACTTTATGAATTTACTCAGTATGGAACAACTTACAGCCGGGAGTCAAACCTCACACTCAATGAGGCTGTCGACACTATGGTGAAACTCTATGAATGTAATCAATGTGGAAGAACTTTTCGCCAGAAATCACACCTCACTCGACATGAGAAAATCCACACTGGGGAGAAACCCCATGAATGTAATCAATGTGGAAAAACCTTTGGCCAGAAGTCCAACCTCAGGAATCATCAGAGAATTCACACAGGGGAGAGACCCTATGAATGTAAGCAGTGTAGAAAAGCCTTTTGCTGGAAGTCACAATTGACATATCATGAGGCTGTCCACACTGGGGAGAAACACTATCAGTGTAAGCAGTGTGGGAAAACCTTTTATCAGAAGTCAGGTCTCAGGAAACATCGAAGAATTCACACTGGGGAACCACCCTATGAATGTAATGAATGTGGAAAAACCTTTGGCCAGAAGTTCAATCTCTGGAAGCATCAAAGACTTCATATAGGGGAGAGGCCCTACAAATGTAATCAGTGTGGAAAAACCTTTTGTTGGAAATCACAACTGAGTCAACATGAGGTTGTCCACACTGGAGAGAAACACTATGAGTGTAAGCAGTGTGGAAAAACCTTTTCCCGAAAGTCCAGTCTCAGAAAACATCAGAAAACTCACACAAGTGAGAAATCCTATGAATGTAATGAATGTGAGAAAACTTTTACCAGAAGTCCTACCTCAGGAAACATCAAAGAATTCACACAGGGGAGAAACCTTATGAATGTAATCAATGTGGAAATCCCTTTTCCCAGAAGTCAGACCTCAGGAAGCATCAAAGAATTCACACGGGGGAAGAACCCTATGAATGTAATGAATGTGGAAAAGCCTTTGCCCAGAAGTCAGACCTCAGGATACATTAGAGAATTCACACAGGAGAGAAACCCTATGAATGTAATCAATGTGGGAAAACCTTGGCAGGAAGTCACAGCTGACTGGGAAGAAACCCTATTAATGTTAGCAATGTGAGAAGACCTTTTGCTGAAAGTGTAAGCAATGTGGAAAAACCTTTAACCAAAAGGAAACATCAGAGAACTCAGAAATGAGGAACCCTTTGAATGTAGTGAATGTTGAAAATCTTTTTTTTTTAAAGTTTTTTTTAGAGAGAGGGGGAGAGAGAGAGAGAGAGAGAGAGAGAATTTTTTAATATCTATTTTTCAGTTCTCGGCAGACACAACATCTTTCTTTGTATGTGGTGCTGAGGATTGAACCCAGGCCGCACGCATGCCAGGCGAGCACGCTACCGCTTGAGCCACATCCCCAGCCCGAGAATCTTTTACTAGAACTACAACCTCAGGAAGCATCAGRCAGCTCTCACAAGGAGAGAAACCCTATGAATGTAATGAATGTGGAAAATCCTTTGCCAGAAGTGAGGGCTCAGAATGCATCAGGTATTCTTACTGGAGAAGCCAAATGAATGTAAAGATTGTAGGAGAATGGGCTGTGTAGCTCAGTGGTAGAGCACTTGCCTAACATGTGTGAGGTACTGGGTTCGATCTTCAGCACCATGTAAAAATAAATAAAAAGGTAAAAAAAAACAAAATTATAGAAGGCTGGCATGGTGGTGCAAGCCTGTAATCCCAGCGATTTGGAAGGCTGAGGCAGGAAGATCGCAAGTTCAAAGCCAGCCACAGCAACTTAGCAAGGCTCTGAGCAACTTAGTGAGGCCCTGTCTCTAAATAAAATATTTTTTAAAAAACGGGGCTGGAGATGTGGCTCAGTGGTTGAGCATCCCAGAGTTCAATCCCCAGTACAAAAAAAAAAAAAAAAAAGAAGAAGTTTCTACTGTGTCATCCTTCACTAAATATGAGATAATCCACACAGGGCAGAAACAACTATCAACATATTCAGTGTTGAAGACCTGTTATCAGAGGTTAGTCCTCAGGAAGCATCAAAGAATTCACAGTGAGAAGAAGAGTATGTGGAAATTTTTTTTTTTTTTTTTTTTACCAGAAGCAGACCTCAGTAGGCATCAGTGAACTCACAAAGTAGAAAAAATCTTATATGGCATAAGCATACTACTTGTCCCCCAAAACTATTTTATTTTTTCTGGGACACAGCCTGCGTTTCTCAGGTTTTCATATGGTCACTATCATCAGTTAACTTAGCTCTGCCTGGGGAATATGGAAAAAAGGAACATTACTTTAAAACCTGCCAACATAAGAACAACCATTCAGTTATCTTAGATTTTTCTTTTTAAAAAAATTTTTTTAAATGTTGATGTTAAGAGACATCCAAGCTCCACTGTAGTCCTCATTCCAACTTTTTTTTTTTGGCATTGGCTGGCAACAAAATCTCAAATAGAACTTAGAGTGCTTACAGAACAGGCCACAATTCCAGCTGTTTTACCTGGTTCTGATGCTACAATTGATACCATCATTTCCTACTAAAGACGTTGCAATTTTTTTTAACATTTTTTATTTTTTGGAAGTGGTTGGAAACAATACCTTTTTTTTTTTTTTTTAATGTGATGCTGAGGATTGAACCCAGGGCCTCACATGTGCTAAACGAGTGCTCTACCGCTGAGCCACTATCCCAGCCCCAACAATTTTTAATTTTTAATTGATGTCATAGTTTTTAGCATTCTCATTTTTCCCACTTCAGGAACATGTTAATGATGTTTAAATAGGCATCAGTGAACTCACAAAGTGGAAAAAATCCCAAGTACACTCTCTGAGGCATTGAGGAATATAAAGAGAAAAGATTAAAGAAATTGAAATGCTACATTACAAAATATTCACTTGTTTAGCAGTAAAAAGGAATGAAAAAATATGGGATGAATTGAAAACAATAATGGCAGACAGATCCAACAGTATCTAGAATAACTGTGTAAATGGATTAAGGAATATATCAAAAAGCAGTGATATTCAGATTTAATTAGAAAACAAAATACAACTGTATATGAGTAACTCAAAGTTACAAACAAAAGCAAACAGTTGAAAATGAAGCTATGTACACAGAAACCAGAAAAATTACTAAAATAGCTTTATTAGTACTAGAGATGGATTTTGAAATAGAGATCCAAGGATATTTTATATTGATAAAAATATCACTCAGTAACATAGAGGAAATACTAACATATATTTAGCAATTAGTTCTTTTCCTCTTCAAGGTGGTGTCTGGAGACACTGAGAATGGTCCAGCATTTGACATACTGTAGACATTTCTACAGTACAGCCTCTAAGTAGGCTGTCCCCAAAYCCTGGAAACAGAGTTTGCCTTTACACCAAGGAGGTTGGGAGAGCACCAAAATCTGCATGTGTTGTATACCCAGGGAGACTAATAGGGTGTTGTGTAGTGAAAACTAACGTTCTTAGGAGGTTGTCTAAAATGGAAAAAAGAAAAAAGCCAGCCAGGCCCATGGTTCCGTCTGTGCTAAATGTGTTTGTGACAGGATTAAGCATATTTACCTTATTGAGGAGTAGAAAGTTGTGAAAGTGTCAAAGGTTCAAGCATAGTCAGAAAGCTTAATGAAAAAATGAAACTTGAGTCATAAATTCTTGTTCTGTGGAAAAAAATACATATATGTGCCCAATAATATATCACAGAACTATGTCAAATAAACAAATGGAAGAAGAAATATAAAATTGAAGAATTCTGGTTAGAGCCTTCAGGACCTTATTTTCAATACAGTTTGGATGTGTGTGTGTGTGTGTGTGTGTGTGTGTGTGTGTGTGAATTAGAACTTGAGCCAAGGGGTGCTTAACCACTGAACCACATCCCCAGCCCTTTTTAATGTTTTAGAGACAGGGTGTCACTAATTTGCTGAGGCTGGGTTTGAACTTGCAATCCTCCTGCCTTTCAAAAAGGGAGACATGAAGCCTAACTCCTGATGCAATTCAGAGAGTTGTGTGTCCACATGAAGCCCAATTTCAGATTATTAGTGGTGACTTCCACTGAAATTAAACCCATGACTTGGCTAAATGCTCTAAAATGAGTGATAGAACCTCTCCCAGAACACAGATCTGACAGTACTTGCCTCCATAATAAAATAAAAAATTTTATAAGTGTGCATCACCTGGGAGACCAGCATCATTCTTAAAGTCAAAAGGAGCTATCCCAGAATGATTTTGAGAATTCTATATCTGTTCCCAATCATTGCTAGCAGTTCAAGAACTACATGTCCACTGTTAAAATTTATCATTGCACCAACTATGTATATAGCTGAATAACAACAACAACATATAAGTTCAGCAAGCTTATTTCCCTACTTTTCAGTATTATTCTACTGTAAAAACGAATATAATTTAGCAGAGTTTAGAAAATAGTATAAACTTAGTTATTTTTTCAATATTTACTAATCCTATAAGGACAATCTTTGTCAAAATTATTTTTGCAAAGTGCTCACATAAAATTTGTTACTCCTTTTGTTTAAGATTACCTATGGAGTCAGGGATATAGCTCTGTGGTTTTAAAGTACCTGCCTTGCATGCAAGAGGACCTAGGCTCTGTCTCTAACATAAAAAGAAAAAAAAAAAACTTGTTTGCTTAGCTTAGTGGCTTTCATGCTACTGTGTTTATCAAATGAAATGTGTGGTTGTCTCCAGATGTTGGATTTTCTCTGTATATTAGTACTAGAGATGGATTTTGAAATAGAGATCCAAGGACATTTTATATTGATAAAAATATCACTCAGTAACATAGAGGAAATACCAACATATATTTAGCAATTAGTTCAACAGCTCAAAGGGACTCAAACAAATTTCCTGAGTCAGCAGACTAGGAACTCTTGTAGTTTGCCATTATTTTCAGAAATCGCTCTTGTTGTTTTTGCTCCTTTTTCTTTTTGTCCTATATTTGGTATACATGCTTTTTGAATATCAAAGACCAAAGAGCCATTTGGCTCTACACTTCACTGGATTAGTGGGTGACCAAACTGAGAGCAAGTCTAAGGATGGGACAGAGACTGGGACTGATCTAAGGAGAAACAAAGACCAGTTGATCAGTCTGCAAAGTGAATGACAAAGGGCATATACATTTGACCGTTTCATCTTTGGAATAAAGAGTGTGGCTATTGGTTGGGGCAGCACAGATCATGGCCGGGTGGAAGGTCCCATCTCCCCTATCCTCAGAAGAGGCTGGAATATAGAATGGTGTTCCACACACATTTCCTCAACACAAGGACAGGGATTCTTGGAGTGAGGGGTATAGTTTAATTCAGATCAGTCTACAGGTGGAGAAGTTGAAATTGGCCAGCTTCCATTTCACACATAAACTTTCACCCCAGAYACAACAACAAAGCTATTTTGAGAGTGAAACTTGTCCTTTCCCATCCCCAACTCCAGGCAAGGAGGGGTCTGGATTCAGCGAACACACTTACATGACAAGTTTAGGCAATTTGGGTCAGAGCCAAAAGATATTACGGGTATGATATTTGCATATTTGAGACTTCCTCACACTTGCCAATTTCAATAATTGAGACACCAGATGCAAAATGCTACTTCATAAACATCAGGAAGAACTAATCTGAACTTCTGTATGAAAATTATTGCATTAACATTGAGTGATATAAACATACTCATTTCCTCCAGTACACAGTCATTTCCCATTTCAGCCCCTCTTCCTCACCCACTTTATTCACCCCCATTTTAACCTGTTTTCCCTCCATTATTCACCCTTTTTCTTTCTTCTTTTTCTCTTCTTTCTTTTTATCCATCTTCAAATTCAGTTTGGTACACAGTTATTAATGTGTACATTTTCAGCTAACGCTATGCTAATCCTCACCTATGTTCCTCCTAGATTAATAGTTATAGCTATCATTAGTGATTACATTCACAGAGTATGTTGATATATGGTTTACTCTGTCCTTTCAAAGAAGCATTGAGGGTTGTTAAAAATTGGATCACATCTCACCAGATGTGTT